AAGAACAGCCCCCTATCGAGCCCTTAGGACTTTTTGGTGAAAAGCTTCATAGTCTCTTCTTGCGGTTATAGCCGACACCGAACACTTGTTCCGCACAGCTACTATTAAGTGGCCACTGTGTGATGGATGAGCAACAGCGGTAAAAACGCGCGAGTTCAGGCACGGCTGGCGCGCGCCTGAGGTGCAGCAAATGACGCTTAGCAACCATAACACTGACGAACATCGTGTCTCGAGCATAATATACACGACTCGGCCAACATCGGCCATAAAAACAGCGCTTTGTCTAAATAGCTAGGTGAATTGTGCGGCATTTTATGGGGCTAAGAAGTTCTTCGTGGAAGTACTGGAGGTGTGTGCAAATTATGAATGCTAGTTGAGTTACGGTGGAAGAGTTACTTTGGTAGACAGCTTGAGCTCTTTTTACTTTAATCACAAACGACTCCAGAGAAAAAATTGGCTTTTCATGGACACTCTTGCTGGAATAGAAACATAAAGATGATCCTTTCAGAACCTTCAGCCGGTGTGGTCATTTTTCCTGTTCAGGTCCCTCGCTCACTATGGGTGAGTCCGAAGATAATGGAAAGGCTATGACCGAACTCATAGGGTTCCTGACACCTACCACAAGACTAGATGTTCGTCGTGCAGCTCTAGACTATGTTATTTCGGTCAGCGGTGCTCTTGACGGTTCCGCTGGTCGTCTGTTCCTGGGCAATGACTGTGCCATGGGCAAGGTTAGTTGAGCTATAGATAATCTCGAAGTGAAGTCTCTCAAATACTAGGCGATTTGTGAGTTATGCGAAGCAACGATGTCGGATAGGTCTCATACGCTGTCTGCTCTCACAAATTTCTCTTCTGGGTCGGCTGAAGTGGCCAGCTACATCTTGACGAACTCAAAATGTGCTCAACTTGCCTTTGATGCATGCCGAACTCGAGCTCTATACGCCAACTTCGGCGCTCGTCTCCTGGCAAACTTATCGAGGCATTTTCCCGATCGGGTAAACGAGTTACTTGTTGCCCACGAAGCAAAAGCGCTACACGTCCTTGTGGGTGAGTAATCGCTTTGATAGTCTATAGATTCATGGAAACAAGCAGCTAGATAGCTGCTGCTCTTATTGCCACCGCAAAAACAGGGCTTTTGCTGTTATGTACTGGGGTGGTCGTAAATTACTACCCGCCACTGCTGATAAATATGGCTGGCTTGTGTGTTTTCACTGCTGGCTGCTATAGACACCATGGAAATTCATCATTGCGTCAGATGTTCCTCTTCTTTACATGTAGCCAGATTTATGTCTACTTTTTGATTTTCTCAAAATTATGATCTAGCCCAAATGCGTCGAATCGATATAGTTTCCTAATGAGTTTGTTGGTCTTATCTCCACTAAACGCGAAAGTTCGCTTCCCGTGGCGTGAAAAGGCCAGTCGTAAACCCCTTTGCACAGTAGGCGAAGAGATGTCAGTGCGGTTGTCGCGAGTAATCACATCAACTGTTAAATTGACTCGTGCGTTTCGTGTCCGAAGAAGAACGAGTTGACTGATAACAGCGTTTTCACAGGTTCCATGCCCATGAAACAATTTAATGACGAGCGACGGGCACGACCAATTGACTTTTCTTCGCCCACATAGGAAACAGAAAGGTCAGAGATTGAGCAAGTGGGGGTTTGTTAGAGTTTGGGACTAGGAAACTCGAGAAGGCTTTGTACATATGTAACTAACAAGTAAATTCTTGTGCTTCACTCCATCTACTCTTTAGAACACTTGGAATCAGGCGAAAAACATGTTTGAGCCTGTCAGAAAACATGTGCAAAACTTTCTACAGTTCCCCTAGTCATGGATTGGACTATAGCTTGAAAGAACTCGAATCTGAACTTATTGTTAGTCACCACTTCTTCTAGACTGGTTTTCAACATTTTACTGCTTAGTTTAATGCTCTTTTCTGCAAATTTACCCGTCATAAAACAATGTTCGCAGGAGCAGCTGTCAAACTCTCAACCTCTCTCCCCTTTTTCTACAGCATTCTTATGTACACTTTTGAATTGTTTTATGCTGTTCAAATAATAACTACGATAACGATTAGCTGTTTCCGAAGAGGTTGGCCCACTTGAACGGACAGATGCCCCTTCCGATGATTTATGTGCTCGTCATATGGACGAGATATACAGTGGAGGTCGGTTCTGATAGCATATCGCGACGGGTCCGTTACGCCATCTAAGTTTGCATGCCCCTTACTGAAGCACTTTGGGAGCC